TCAGTCCCATGTTCTATCTCATGTATGAGACAACTATAAATTAGTCATATTAAAGGAACAGGACTGCCCTGTCCAGTGTTTCTCAGTGGTCAGAGCATTGGCCCACAAACCCAAGGGTTGCAGGCTCAATTCCTGTCAAGGGCATGTACCTGAGTTGCAGGTTCCCTGCCCCAGTTGGAGCGTATGCAGGAGGCAACCAATTGATGCGGCTCTCTCAAGTCATGTTTCTCTCTCCCCCTTCCCCCTCCCCCATCTCCCACTCTCTGTAAAATCAAGGGAAAAAAATATGCTCCAGTGAGGATTAACAAAAACAAAACAAAACAGGGAGGGGGACAGGATTGGGCCAAGCACTTCTACAATTTAAAATGTGTGCTAAAATAGAATGAAAAAGGCCAGATCTTGAAATTTAAAGAGATTCAATCCCATTCGTAGTGCTAAGACTGCACCGGCCACATGGGGCTTATGAGCACTTGAAATGTGCGGGGCCCCCACTGAGACGTGTTACAAGTATAAAATTCATGCTGGATTTCAAAGACTTAGTATGAAAAAAAAAAAAGAACACAAACGCTCTCATTACTAATGTTTATACTGATTACATGTTGAAATGATAACATTTGGATATGCTGGTTAAGTCAAATCCGGGGGTGGGCAAAAGTAGCTTTGCAGTTATGACGACACAAAACACAGAGTTTATTCTTGTTGAGTGAAAAAAGCTATTGTAATCATCATAACCCGGACCCCTGTAAACCTCCTTTTGCCCACCCTGTATATTATTAAAATTAATTTCAGCTGGTTCTCTTAACCCTTTCTTGTGTGACTTCCGGAAAATGTAAAATTATACTGGGGCTCACATTTGCGGCTCACATTAGATCTCAGTTGGATGGTGCTGAGCTCGATATATTGCAGGGTATCCCTTATACTCTTCTTTATATAGAAAAGGTGCCTAACATTGGCTACTGGGCTTCTTTGTGCCAGGGCTGTGTTTAGGTGCAGTCATCCTGCAAAGCACACGTGAGTAACCCATTTACAGATGAGAAAACTGAGGCTCAAAGAAGTTATGTAAGTTGCCCAAAATCAGCCACTAAAGTATGGGAGAGCCAGTAAATTCGGCACTGGATAATTGTGGAGGATGTTACTCAGTTGCCAAGGCTTTTCACTCTGCCATGACTTGAAAACCTAAACAAGCAGAGGAAGTGGTGCCAAAAATATGGGAGGAGATGGGTCCTGTAAAATTGAAATTGCTTCCCACAGACAAGCCCCATTAAAAAAAAACAAACCAAAAAAACTCGCCCAGATGATGTGGCTCAGTGTTTCACCGTCAATCTTTGAATCAGGAGGTCATAGTTCGATTCCTGGTCAGGGCACATGCCTGGGTTGTGGGCTTGATCCCGAGTAGGGGGCGTGTAGGAGGCAGATGATCAATGATTCTCCCTCATCGTTGATGTTTCTATCTCTCTCTCCCTCTCCCTTTCTCTCTGAAATCAATAAAAATATTTTTTAAATAAATGAATAAAACTACCTCCCAGGTCCTCGATTCCAAGTTGAAAAACACATGACTCACGTGGAGTGATATCGTATCGCCTCACTTTTCATCTAACCATAACTTGGAAAGAGGTTTTGAATGGGTGCTGTTGAAGAGCTAGACTTTCCCCATTCAAAACAGAAAGGTTCCTGTTAAGTATTTGCCTATAGTTTTAGATGTGGTAGGAAGAACAATTTGCTAGTTAGCCCTATAACTTTCTTTTTGTTGCAGAACATCTTGGTGGGTTTGCAGATACAAGTTTAGGGTTGGAACTGTGGAGAGGTGTATATGTTCCCCCCTGTCCCCCCTCTCCGTTGATCTTGGCAGGGAGAGGGAGTAGACTGAAGGAAAAATAAGAGGGGGTGTGGTGGGGTGTGGTGGTGGGTCTTTAAGTAGGGCTGAGAATAAAGTATAGCATAGGGAATATAGTCAATAATATTATAATAACTACTAGAGGCCCAGTGCACAAAATTCGTGCACTCGGGCAGGGGTCCCTCAGCCTGGCCTGCACCCTCTCAGTCTGGGAGCCCTCAGGAGATGTCTGACTGATGGTTTAGGCTCGCTCCTCGTGCCATCAGTCGGACATCCTTAGCGCTGCCATGGAGGTGGGAGAGGCTCCCACCAGCACCGCTGTGCTCACCAGCCGTGAGCCCAGGTTCTGGCTGAGCAGCACTCCCCCTGTGGGAGCGCACTGACCACCAGGGGCAGCTCCTGCATTGAGTGTCAGCCCCCTGGTGGTCAGTGCACATCATAGCACCGGTTGTTCTGCCGTTTGGTCAATTTGCATGTTAGCCTTTTATTATATAGGATGTGTGCTGCTAGTTGGCTACTGGAAATATCGGGGAAATACTTTGTAAAGTATATGCTTGTCTAACCACTACACTGTGCACCTGAAATGAATACAAAATAATATTGAATGCAAACTGTAAGTGAAAATTTTTAAGAAAAAATGTTTTAAAGAGCTGAGGTTGTACTGCCCATGTCCTCGCTCTCCCCACCAATTTTGCAACTGGTGTTTCATTCACAAATGCTTGTTTGGGAGTGATTTGGTCCATGCGGATTCTGGTGAAGGAGTTGTCTGTTTCAGCAGCAGCTGTAAGAAAGAGCAGTGGCAGAGGTGGCTGGGAGAAATTAGTTCAAGCAAGTATCCTGGGGGCTGCTGAGGACTGTGATAGACTGTGAGATCTGGGGGGGCGGGGGGGAGACACCCAAAGAAGAGAATGGGAGCAGGGCAGGACACTTCACCTCAGTCCCTGCAGCATGAGGACCCCTAGGTCACATCTGGATGACATATAATATCGGATTGTTGGTGCAAGCACCCACTTTCAATGCTTAAAACAGGACCTTCCATTAATTTTCCCAGAGTCCTGTGTTCAAGCTATAAGTGTCACCATTAGGATCTTAGATATGAGATTAGTTAAGGTTTTTTCCCCAAAGCAGACTATGTGCAAGTCGCTTATTTGTGCGATGATGGGAAAAAACACCACTGGGGTGCAGGGAAGCCAGCCCACGGAGGGCCTGCAATCAGGAGAGTTACCCAGCAGGTAACCGCAGCTCCATCCCGCTGGGGAGCTCGTGGAAGCTCCAGACACCAGTCAGAGTTCTCCCAGCCCGAGAGGCAAGAGAGCTGGGGTTTTCATCCACCCATTCCTGTGGCATGGGGAGCTGAGAGCTGCTCCTGGGGAGGGTGAAGCATTTTCCTAGCACTTTCGGCCTGCTCTATGCACTGCCCAGAATTGTACCCTTTTCTGGCTTTTACAAAAATTATTTTATCACACAGATGTATGCTTAGATTATTTCATTTTTATTGTTGGAATTTCATGGACTGAAGGGTCCTGGGTTCAATTCAGGTCAAGGGCACGTGCTTCGGTTGCAGGCTTGATCCCTGGCTCTGGGTCATGTGCAGAATGAAACCAATTGATGTATCTCTCTCACATAGATGTTTCTCTCTGTGTGTGTGTCTCCCACTCCTTTCCACTCTCTAAAAAAATCAATGGGAAAAATATCCTCGGGTGAGGTTCAACAAAAAATAAATAAAAAGGAACTTTATAATAAGAGTAGTGTACTAGCCCTAACCGGTTTTGCCCAGTGGATAGAGCATCGGCCTGCAGACTGAAGGGTCCCAGGTTTGATTCCGGTCAAGGGCATGTACCTTGGTTGTGGGTACATCCCCAGTAGGAGGTGTGCAGGAGGCAGCTGATCGATGTTTCTCTCCCATCGATGTTTCTAACTCTCTATTCCTCTCCCTTCCTCTCTGTAAAAAGTCAATAAAATATATTTTTGTAAAAAAAAAGAGTAGTGTGCTATAAGACTTCTGAAACTAGCTTTGTACACTCAGTATTATATCACAAAGGTTTATTTTATATTACTTGTGGAGTCATTTAGGTTGTTTCTAGTTTTTTTCTCTCGCTCTCTCTCCTTCCTTACTTCCATCCTTTTATTTACTTAGTTACTACAAATAGTAACTAGAGTTGATGTGAATCTTATTTTGGGGCAGGCTTATAGATTCTGTAAGAATGCTTAACAGCTGCCCGGTGTGGCTCTGTGGTTGAGCATCGACCTATGAGCCAGGAGGTCATGGTTCGATTCCCAGTAAGGGCACATGCTTGGGTTGTGGGCTAGATCCCCAGTGTGGGGCATGCAGGAGGCAGCGGATCAATGACTTTCTCTCATCATTGATGTTTCTGTCTCTCTCTCCCTCCCTCTCCCTTCCTCTCTGAAATCAATAAAAATATATTTTTAAAAAAGGTTTCATTGTGAGAACTGGAGACAGTACCTCCTTGCCTCAGGAAGCTTTCAGTTATGGAGGCTGCTGCTGTTTCGATACATTCAAGCATGACAACTTAGCTTAATAGACACCTGACCTTGAAGTTCCAGGCCTCCATCTGCCACAAACTAGCTCTATGGTTTTGGGAAAATTGCTTCATCTTTCCATGCCCAATTGCTCATATGTAAAGTGAGAGGGCTGGACTTCAGCTGATCTCTGAAGAGGAGATCACAAGTCTATGAGAAGAACTTTGACTACAATACTCAATTATTTATTGATGCCAGTGTAGTCACCCGTGGCTATCATTCCTCAAGTACTAACTTATTCAACAGATCCTGAGGGAAGAGCTAGGACAAGCACTTTCCCAGAAAATGGAAGAAAATAATTTTGTTTTGCTTGAGAGAATAATTTTCAAATCTGAAGGGCAAAGGAAAGAGTGAAGGGGAAAATAACCACCCCCACATTTACAAAAAAAAAAAAAAAAAAAAAAAAAAAAAAAAAAAAAGCTATGTTTGTGTTCAAAACCAAGTTCAGAACTCTGATATTATTCTCCAATTAGTGCAATTATTTTTTCAGCACTCAAGCTTATTTCATAAGCCAGAACTGTATTGTATTTCCCTTGTGTAACTCCTTGTATAACCCTTTTCTTCTTTTATGCCTTTCCCTCCAAATGACTTCATTCTTTCACTGGGTTTTTTTTTTCTCTCTCAGCATTCCTGTTGTCACTCTGCTTTCAGTGAGAGAGCCACTTTTGTCTTGGGTAAGTTTTATTTGGCAGCATGGCCTGAGGAACACCTGTTCCTATTCCCATTCTTATGCTCTGTTGACTCATGGCGTGGAGAATGTTGGATTCCTATATATACCTCGTAGTCATGGTCAAAGAATTCCATCTGAATTAGATGTAAGCTGAATTTCAGTAGACAAAAAAAGTAGAGGAATCTTTTCTCTTCCGAGTATGTAAACCTTCCACCCAGGGAAACTCTTTTGCTTTTCCAATAGCCTTCCTGGCTCCTTATGAGGTAAAAGACTTACTGTATCCTCCCCTTCAACTTCTCCCTGAACTTGCCTACCTCATATCCTCCTGTCCTTTGCTCATAAGACTGGCCACTTTCCTGATAAAGAACCACTGCATACACACTGGATAAGAAACAGCGGCAATGAGGCCTGGCTGGTGTGGATCAGTGGTTAGAGCGTCGGCCCACACCCTGAAGGGTCACAGATTTGATTCCCTGTTTGATCCCTGGTCAGGGTGTGTGTGTGAGGTAACTAAGCAATGTGTCTCTTACACTGATGATTCTCTCTCTCTCTCTCTCTCTCTCTCTCTCTCCCTCTCTCTCTCTCCCTCTCTCTCTCTCCCTTCCACCCTCACACTCTCTCTAAAAAGCAATGGAAAAAATATTCTCAAGTGAGGATTAACAAAAAAAATAAAGAAAAAAATAAAAGAAACAGTTGCAATGAAATGTTGATTAACTCAGACTCCCCTGAGACACAAAATCTCTCTAGTCACACCAGGAGAATGGAAAGAAGAAAGAGAAGGAGAGGGTGGGTGAATTCATGGTTCAAGTCTCAGAATAACCAAGACTGGAGCCCAAGATGGTGCCAAGCAAAGACTAGGGAGTCAAGAGACAGAGCAAGTGATGGAGTCATCCTGGCCAAAGGCGACAAGTGAACAAGGAAGTGTGGTGAAGGTTTGTCTACCACCTACAAAGTGCATGTTTGTGTGCGCCTTGGTGGTGGTCTTCTCACCACCGTGTAGCTTTTCCTGAAGAGTGTGTTCTCACTAACAACTGCCAGGAACACTTAGAGGAGATGGCAAGTCCTAGGCACTGTTCTCATTCCCCCACATCAAGTTCATGCGAAGGTCACCAATGATGTTCATGTGCAAGGGACACTTTTAGTCCTTATTTTCTTGACCTCATGGTCACTTCCTCTTTGTTGAAAAACTCTCAGTTCCGTTGAATTCAGTGACTCCACACCCTCTTTTTTCTCTCTCCCTGCTTTCTAATCATTTCCAGATCTCTTTTTCTGACATCTTCTCCTCTGCTTCATCTTAGGTTTCCTTAGAGCAATTTCCTCATCCCTCCTCTTACCTGCTTCTCTCTTCCTAGGCAATCTCCACTATGGCTTTACTTACCATTAAATTTCTGACTCCCAACTTTGAATCTCCTGCCCCTATATATTCAAATGCCTACTTGCCATTTCCACTGCATCGCCTCAGTGACACCCTCAAGCTATACATGTCAAAAGTATACTCTTGATCTTCCCACCAAAATTCTTCTCTTCCAGCATTCTGCCTTTCCTTAGAAAATGGTGATTCACCCAGCCAGCGTGGCTCAGTGGTTGAGTGTTGACCTATGAACCAGGAGGTCACGGTTTGATTCCCAGTCAGGGCATATGCCCGGCTGCAGGCTCGATCCCTAGTATGGGATGAGCAGGAGGCAGCCGATCAATGAGTCTCTCTCATCATTGATGTTTCAATCTCTCTCTCCCTCTCCCTTCCTCTCTGAAATAATTAATATATATGTATACTTTTTTTTAAGAAAATGGTGATTCTGCTGACTGGGTTGCTTAAACTAAGAACCTAGACTTCATCCTAGTTACTTCCCTCTCTGTCATCACCTCTCACACTGCATCAATCATCAAGTCTTTTGATTCTCTGTCCTATATGTCTCTTGAATCCTTCTGCTTCTCTCCATCCCAACTGTTGCCACCATCTTGACCAAGACTAACAATACTTCTCACCTAGGCTATTGCGGCATTTTTACTAGTCTCCAGCATCCTGCCCCTCACTCCATTCTTTCCTCTTCTGCAGTCTTAAGTGATCTTTCAACATGTAAATATGGCCATGACACTCTCCTTCAATGGCCTAGGAGGTCCTGCCTAGTCTAGCTCCTATTAGCCCTTCGACTTCCTCTTGTACAGCTCTAGCTCTTATTCACTCTGCTACAGTAATACTTTCACCAAGCCATGCTTGGCGAATTGAAAACACTCTGTTGACTCCTCCTATATTAGTTTCTTATTGCTGCTGTAACAAATTGCCATAAACTTAGGGGCATAAAACAACACAAATTTACTCGTTTATAGTTCTGAAGGTCAAAAGTCCTATAATCAAGGAGTCAGCAGGGGTGCATTCCTTCTGGAAGCTCTAAAGGATCATCCATTTCCTTGCCTTTTCCAATTTCTAGAGGCTGCCTGAATTCTGTGGCTCTTGGCCTTGTATCACTCCGATCTCTGTTTCTATCATCACTTCTTCTCTTACACTCCTGCCTCCTTCCTGTAAGAACCTTTGTATTACATTGGGCCCATCTGGATAATCCAAGATCATCTCCCCATTGCAATCCTAATCTCCATGTGACCCTTAATCATATCTGCAGAGTATCTTCATCCATGTGAGGTAACATATTCACAGGTTCCAGGGATTAGGATATGAACATCATTTTTGGGGGGAGGGTGGTATTATTCCGCCTACCATACCTCCCATGCCCAGGAGGGTTAAAAAAAAAATTTTGCAAAGTTTTCTGGAGCAAATTCTGAACACTGCTACAAAATACCATACACTGTACATACTCCATACACATCATGGACCACATTATAACTCTCTCCTAGATCCTCTTGTAAATTAGTTTCCATTAGTCTGTCTTCGAGTGTGCACATATACTCTGTAGTGTCTACATACACACATCCAGAACCCTGTCCCCTTGGTGAGGAGGGCAGAACCATGGAATGGGACAGGAACAGGTCCAATGAAGCAGCTGAAGTGACATAACCTTGTTTGATTCCAGTCAATCAATATATTTTCTCTTGATTTCAGAGAGGGAGGGAGAGGGAGAGAGAAATAGAAACATCAATGATGAGAGAGAATCACTGATCAACTGCCTCCTGCATGCCTCCTAATGGGGATCGAGCCCGAAACCAGGGCATGTGACCTACTGGGAATTGAACCATGACCTCCTGGTTCATAGGTCAACACTCAACCATTGAGCAATACCGGCTGGGTGGGAGTGAATCTCTTGTTCCCAACAGGCATGATCTGGACTTTTGTGGAAGCAAAGACAGGTGTGTTTTCTCTCATAGCATCTTCTCTTCTTGCAGTAACCAATTCTCAGTTCTTTAATCCGTGCTCCCCTCTAGAGCTGACGCCGGCTGTACTGCTTTATGGATATTCTGGTTTTTTCCAAGTCCTGATTATTTTACCCATGAAGATTTCTGAGGAGAACCAAGATGGCGGCATAAGTTAACGCCGGAGTTTGCTGTTTTGAACAACTACTTCAAAAGTGAAACCAAAAAACGGAAGGGACATCACCCAGAACCACAGGAACGCTGGCTGAGTGGAAGTCCTACAACTAGGAGGAAAGAGAAACGCATACGGACACTCAGAGGAGGCGCAGTGCTGAAGTCAAATTCTGAGGTGCGGAGTGCACGAGCGGGCTGGCGGCGGAGGGCACGGTTGGCGTTTTCAATCGGGAGGGAGTCGCAGACTCTGAGCTCCAGATCCGGGCGAGTCTTTAGGGACCCAGACTCAAACGGGAGAAGCGGGACTGTCTGGCTTCGGTCAGAGCGAGTGCAGCTTTCTCTCCGAGCTTTGCAGCGGGTGCTGGGACTCAGAGAGGCAGAGCCCCTGGGGACAGGACTGAGAGCCGCCATAACTGCTCTCTCCGGCCCACCCTGTTGATCCTGTTCGACCCGCCCCGCCCAAGCCCTGCACACAGGCATTTGCAGGATAGCCTCAGGCAAAGGCTAGATTAGCACCTCCCTAGAGGACAGAAGTTCTCTCACTGCTGACACAGCTGATTCTCATAGCCACTTGGCCTGGAGGTCAAACCCTCCCTGGAATTAGCTACAACAATCAAGATTTAACTATAAGACTGCGAACAAAGACCACTAGGGGGTGCACCAAGGAAGCATAACAAAATGCGGAGACAAAGAAACAGGACAAAATTGTCAATGGAAGATATAGAGTTCAGAACCACACTTTTAAGGTCTCTCAAGAACTGTTTATGAGCCGCCGATAAACTTAATGAGATCTACAAGAAAACTAATGAGACCCTCGATCTTATATTGGGGAACCAACTAGAAATTAAGCATACACGGACTGAAATAACGAATATTATACAGACTCCCGACAGCAGACCAGAGGAGCGCAAGAATCAAGTCAATGATTTGAAATGCGAGGAAGCAAAAAACACCCAACCGGAAAAGCAAAATGAAAAAAGAATCCAAAAATGCGAGGATAGTGTAAGGAGCCTCTGGGACAGCTTCAAGCGTACCAACATCAGAATTATAGGGGTGCCAGAAGATGAGAGAGAGCAAGATATTGAAAACCTATTTGAAGAAATAATGACAGAAAACTTCCCCCACCTGGTGAAAGAAATGGACTTACAGGTCCAAGAAGCGCGGAGAACCCCAACCAAAAGGAATCCAAAGAGGACCACACCAAGACACATCATAATTAAAATGCCAAGAGCAAAAGATAAAGAGAGAATCTTAAAAACAGCAAGAGAAAGAAACTCAGTTACCTACAAGGGAATACCCATACGACTGTCAGCTGATTTCTCAACAGAAACTTTGCAGGCCAGAAGGGAGTGGCAAAAAATATTCAAAGTGATGAATACCAAGAACCTACAACCAAGATTACTTTATCCAGCAAAGCTATCATTCAGAATTGAAGGTCAGATAAAGAGCTTCACAGATAAGGAAAAGCTAAAGGAGTTCATCACCACCAAACCAGGATTATATGAAATGCTGAAAGGTATCCTTTAAGAAGAAGAAGAGG